ACATTTCTCATAATATTTACATTAGAATTACACTTTGTAAATATCAAAATTTAAGTTATAACTAATACAATATTTATCATTAGTAACAATCAATTTCTAAGTAATAGTTTATTTATTTCAAATTAGTATCAAATTTTCTATAATAAGTATTATAATTAATATCATAAATAAAAAAAACTATCAGCCTAGATTCGATCCGTTTCACAAATTAAGATCCGTGAGATCTCGTCAAAATCTTTTGGAGTCTACCTGATAATAATATGGTGTGATAGTATGTAAGAGATGAGGAATCAATTTAAAAATAAATAAATAATAAAAAAGGAAATGAGACTAAGATTCTACTATCGTTAGTCTCTTCTTTATACCCTTTAAGAGGGAAATATATCTAGAGAATCAGTGGCGGAACCAGCCACTAAGTTCAGTGGTGTCAACACTATATTAACATAAATATTTATTTTCATTTATAATTTTCTTTTGATATTTAAGATTTGATAAAATGCTTAATAAAATATTACAACTTTAAAATAAAAAGTGACGTGTGTTGAACTAAATAATTATACAACTCATGGGGATTTACAAATAAGAAATTCATAGCCACAATTCACATTCTCAATCCCCGTCTATATCAATTGACAACACACAATACATTCACACTCCCCTAAAAAAAAATTTTTAGAATGAATTAGGAAATATTAGATACTCAATGAAGTAATAATTTTAATGAATGTATTTAAGATTGACTCATAGATGTGACCTGGCATGCCAGACTTAGCTTAAGTTGTAATTTTAATATGAAAAATAACATTTATTTTTTAAAAAATATTCCTTAGATTTCACTCAATAAAAAAAAATTATACTGAAAATTACCGTCCCATCATAAATTAATGATAATGTTAATAAGTACAAGAGCTATACGCTCTGGATACAAGAATAATAATACAATTAAGGTGTACAAAGTAGTCAAGTACGGAGTATTGTATTAATAATATTAAAGTTCTTAGTGCAATTCAAGTATAATATAAAGAAGCTTGGGAGGCTCTACATACAATGATTGGGCAGTGTACTAAGTCTAAAAAATTCAATCCTTCTACTGGCTGAATGATGTCTCTATTTATAGTGTCGGAGCATGGATAACATATCGCGGTTTCTCTGTTGACGAGTTTTACGTAGAGTTATGATACAAGAGCCTAGGTAAGTCAAAGCACGTACTTGTCCTAGAGGTCACGTTTGTAACATTGACGGTAAAAGTGATTAATTTCTTGTATATATTTTTCTAGTCTTAATATATGATTGGATTTTCCAGTCTCATCGTTTTAGACTGTAGACCTATCTAAGAATGGTTCTTCTCCGATCAGGTCACCAATTATATGACAGTATTACCCTATCACTAGTCCCCACTTAGTATAGTGTGAGATTTGTCAGCAATAGGAAGTAGTTGTTTTTCAAATCTAACGGTGTGAAAATCATCAACGGTAGATAGGAAATAGGAAATATTAGAATAATTTTGCTGACGTGGTGACACTTTAGCTTCCCATACGTCCATGCGGGGTTGGGTGACATGTAGCAACCATCAACAATCCCCAGTTTTAAGCTGTTGACCTTCCTAAGTGGTAAACATGTGCTCCTATGCTTTGACATTGTTGAGGAGCACCAACCCTTTCTTTTTTGAAAGGAGCCTGTTAGGCATTTATTCAAAATATGCTGAAATAGAGTCTGGTGGACCAGAGTCCGATACATAATAACTGAATGCGTAAAAGCGGAAGATGCTAAATTGTGTGCTAAATAATTATCTACTCTAGGAACATAACAAAGCGAACAATAACCAAAAGTTAACATACTGGTCCTGCAACTATCAATAGCATAACCCAGATATGATCGCGGCGATCGTGTCATAGATGATAGATATTGCTGCAAGGTCAAACAATCCGTGAAGAGCTCGATAGATCTTACCACATGGCTCCTTAACCAAGATAGAACCTCCTTGCACGCAAAAGCTTCCGCCATGAGTGGTGAAAAACAGTCTATTATTGGTGCCGACATAGCTGAGATATAACCTCCTTGTCCGTCGAGAATAACTGCCCCAACTGCTGCTTTGTTTGTTTGATGGGAGTATGCCGCGTCGAAGTAACATTGTTGTCGCATGGGCAATTGAGTGGCGTGGAGTGCAGTAATTGGTGCCGTTGGCAGTGTGTAATGTGACATGGCAGTGGGAGGCATTTGGTGTTCTTCTACAATCACAGCAGCATGTTCGTGAACTCCCTCTTGTGGCACGGCAATGCGATTTCCAACAGCCGTGGTGGTGGGCGTCGTATTCGTGCGTCCAGGGTGGGCAAGCTTCCATGCATGTACCGCCGAGGTCGCCATTGCTATTACTTTCCGAGGTCTGGGTAAGTATGCATCCCATACAGCCCCATTTCTTGTTCGCCAAATATAATATAGAAGTGCCACTGCATAAATAATCTCATCATCATCTAAAATATTCAACAAATCATTAAACCAATCACTGAAAATATTTGTGACACTATTGGGGATTGGAAGGTGGGATTGTGCCCAAATGTTCGCCGTATAGTCACATGTGATTAGAGAATGCACTATATCTTCATGAATGAGTCCACACATAGCACAAGTTGGATCAATATCAACTCTCTTCATAAGTAGATTATTCATAGTGGATAATATATCATTCAAAGTTCTCCATAAAAATGTTTTCCACTTTGGGGGGACTTTGAGCTTCCACAATTTTAACCATTTATCAAATCCACCCATGTGATTAGTGTAGTCACCGACTATTTTCCTGTATCCATCCTTGACTGAATATTCCCCTCTCGGGCACCAACCCTTTCTTAATCATTAGGAATGTCATCAATTCTTGTTCGCACAAACTTAATTCACTGGTTTAATAGACAGTATTTGAGAGAAGAAATCAATGTTTGAATTTTGACAGGGATAGTGTGGGGACATAATCCAAAGTGAGTGATTTTTTACATACTTCAAAATGCTCTGTCGGGTCGGAATGTGGGACTCTTAAGTTGGGGATTCAACCTTTTAGGAGAAGGAATGTCAATTCTGTCGCACCCAATGAATTATCTGTATCTGAGTTGGGGATTCAACTTTTTGAGAGAAGAAGGAATGTCAATTATACTTGTACCCAATGAATTATCTGTATCTGAGTTGGGAATTCAACTTGGAGAAGAAGGAATGTCAATTCTACTCGTGGCAAGAATTGATTCTCTCAAATGTGAGGTCATGGATTCGATCCTTGGTGAGGATAGTATTGACTCTTTGGAGAAGAAGGAATGTCAATTCTACTCGTGGCAAGAATTGATTCTCTCAAATGTGAGGTCATGAATTCGATCCTTGGTGAGGATAGTATTGACTCTTTATGCGTAGTACTCCAAAAATGTTTGGTGTATAACTCTTAGACTACAACAACAAGTAAAGCTATCAATTTATAATTAATTAAGACTACATTTATTAAAAAACATTACAATTATTAAGTTTTTTTTTTTTTTTTAAATTATCATTTCTATTTTGATATTTGAACCAAACACCCTTAAGGCCTTAATATAAAATTTTAAAAATTCCTACATACACATAGTAAACTAGAAGTAACAAACTAATAATCTGTGGATTGCTTTAATTAATAACGTTATCTTAATTACTACTTGATTAATGATTGTCATTTTCTGATTGCGATCGAGTGTAACGGTGTAACAAATTCCATTTTTCCAAATGGGGAAATTGACCCCTTTATATATAACATCTTCCATTTTTACCCAAGACATGTTGTTTATTTTATTTTATTTTATTATTTTTTTAAAAATTTGGATGATCCAATTTTGCCGGACTAATCCTAAACCCACAAGACCCCGCCCCTAGAGTCACTGCTGAGATAAATCGCAAATCACGCAATCAACCCATGGTCAAATCTTAGTCTTCATGTGCGCATAAGGGAGGGGTTGCTGCCGTAAAAAAATGCCCATGCGATGACGATTTGTCAATTAATGGAAAAGCCTAAGACACATAATGGTAAGAAGGAGTTTTCTTCTAAAAGACCAATTTCTCAAAGTGAGAGGGTTCCTTGTGCGCAGTAAGTAAAAGGTTTAGCCTCTATGTTCAACTGAGTTACCATGATTTACATTCTCCCAGATGCTCTATCAGGTCGGGGTGTGAAGGGCCCTTGGGGTTGGAGATTCAACCTTTTGGGGAGAAGAAAGAGTTTTCTCTAAAGCACCAATATAAACTATCCATATTTGGTCATTAACTCATTTTAAAGTGGGATTTAGATATAATTATGCAGATAACTTTTTATGAATATCATCATCTCAATAGTCAATATAAATGGTTGCTCCCCTAAGTGGGAGATGATAGGTTCGAGTCTCAATGAAGGTGATTAGTAGTTTGGGTACGGTAACCCCTTCCCTTGTAATAAAAATAAGTAAAATGTTTATCTTTGTGGGCAAGTAAAATGTTCATTTGATAATTAATTAACAACTTTGCTTTTTAACCTTGTCTTAAACGATGTAAGGCATGTACTTATTACACTAGTCATTAAGGAGACAAATTTCTCCATTACTAAACAAGTCATACGTTTTTTTATGTGTCCAACTTTAATAAATTCACCTTTAATTATGTCTTAAATACATGTTATTGCTTACATCAAATGACAAAATTCCATCACTTTATAAAGAATGGCATATGAATACTATGTTTTGCTGTCGGGTTTATTTTGTTTTACTTTTTCACTGTGCTTGTAACTTTTTTAGACGTGTATGTTACTTAATTACTTACCTTCAGACAATTCAACCAACTAACTAATTAACTAAGGGAATTAAGGATGGTGGGTTCAACCAGAGTTACTATTTTTGCTAATACTCTTGGATAATGATTGATTATATATGTGGGATGATGTAGATAGCTAAGCTAGCATAATTAAATTAAGGAAATTGTTAATTTTTTAATTATATTTGAAAAAGCCATACTTAATGCTAATAGTACAATTAAAGGTGGAAAATAATGTGGTGTAGGAAGAAAAAGAGGGCACCTAAAGCACTTTAATTTCTTTGGCCCCATTCCATATATCTCTAATCTCTTCTATTTCTCCCCCATGATTTCATTAATATCTCATCATCCATTCCCATTCCTATATAATTCCCACTTCGCCATTGACAAAACTTCTCAAACCTTAAAAGATCAGATCAGACAACGTTAATAACTACCATATATATGATGATGTCGTCGGGGGAAGGATCATCATCATCATCATCCCGACAAGCTCCCCAGCAGCCACTGGTTCAACTGAGCCGGTACGAGTCGCAGAAGCGGCGGGATTGGAACACGTTCGGACAGTACCTGAGGAACCAACGGCCGCCGGTGGCGTTATCCCACTGCGACTACACCCACGTCCTAGATTTCATGGCCTACCTCGACCAGTTCGGAAAGACTAAGGTGCATTTGCAAGGGTGCTTGTTTTTCGGGCAGGCCGAACCGGGCGGCCCATGCACGTGCCCGCTGAGGCAAGCTTGGGGGAGCCTGGACGCGCTCATTGGCCGCTTGAGAGCCGCCTTCGAAGAGAACGGCGGCTCGCCGGAGACCAACCCCTTCGCCAACGGCGCAATCCGGATGTATCTCCGGGAGGTGAGAGATATGCAGGCTAAAGCAAGAGGGATCCCATACAAGAAGAAGAAGAAAAAGAAGACTACTATTACTACTGCTACTACTACTATGGAAGAAGAGACCATATGATGCTGCCATCAAGCAATGAGATTCAATCTTCTTGAATAGGGTTTCTGAGGACAAAATGGTAAAATTGCCATAATATGCATGCTTTTTTAAATTAATTTGCAATAATTTAAGATCAGAGGGCATTTTAATAAATTATTGTTAATTTTAATTAATGTATGTCATGAAGAAATCAACCCTAAACTAGAGTTTTTAAAAACCCTAGTACGTACTTATGTTGTTGCATGTGTCAATATGTCATGTCCCTTTTATCATTCTTGAGAGTAAACTGCAAAAGATCTAAAAATATAAATAAATAATGCAAGGTCTTTTTTTAGGGACATTAAAGATTTATATAATTTTTGGTTTTGGTTTGGGGTTTTATTTTTCTTATTTATTTATTTATTTTGGTGTATGACCCATATATATAAATTTGTTTTAAATATATTTATTATGATTGTAATGTTCACTTTTGTCTAATCTTTGTCTCTTTTAGGATTCTGCTCAATCTATTGCTTGCCATTATGTCTCCTGAAAAATATTATTTATGGGCTTATAATTAATTAATGTATCTAAAAATTTTAAAAATTATTTCAATTCAGTTTTCAAGTAATGTAATTATTGCATCTTGAAATTATTAATAAATCCAATCCTATGAGCTGACAAGAGTGTTATCTATAATTCTTCTCAGCTAAAGGTATGAGATGTCCTTTTCTTCATATATTATATTGTGTATGTTCATCAATTATATATGCATCTACAATCTTATACTCATTAATGAACCAATCATATGCCTATATTATTAATAGATAGTATATAGTTGGTGAGGGGCAACATTTAGCCAAGTTGATCATCAGACAGTTGATTTAGTAATTAACCACAATGTTTCAATTAACTTTCAAGTTTAACTTCCTGTTAATTTATCTTAACTTCTTGTGATCTTTTGCCAGTTAAAGTTACAAAACTGAAAGATTAATAAGTATATATATATATATATATATATATATATATATATATATATATATATATATATATATCTATTTTATTTATTTTATTTAAAAATTATGCTTTTGATATCATAATAATTATTCTCGAATTGCAAATGCAGCCCGACTCCCTTATCTTTCAATTATTGATCTAATATTACAAATATAATCCCTATGTTTTAATTATTCCAAATTTAGCCCTTTAATTGTTAATCTAGTTGACAGTCCTTAACTGAAAGTAGTAGATTTGCAACTTGACCAATAATTGAAGGACAATTTCCAATTCGGTCAACAATATAATTGAAGGATTAGATTAACACCAATTGAAAGATAAGTATCAGATTTACAATTGGGTCAACATTGGAGGACTAAATTTACAATAATTAGAAGAAAGGGACTACATTTATAATTTGAAAATAAAATTAAGGAATCAAAAGTTTGATTTCTCATTATTTTATTTACTTAATGATGATATATATACTTTAATAATAGATAATAGATATGTGATTAAAAAAAAAAAAAAACTAATTCATAGGCCGGGTAGCTAGCTAGAACATATTATTAAAAATAACTAAATTTTTTATAAAAAATATTTACTCTTTTACTTACCATGAGATATAACGAACAATATATATATATACATATATATATATATATATATATATATATATATATATATATATATATATATATATATATATTTCTAACCAAGTTGGTTGGACGGTTAGCTCGATAACTATAAGGTTCCAAGTTTTGTTCATAGGGGAAGCAGCCTATTAACCTTCTTAGTTTGAGCCAGTCACTTATTGACAACCTATACCGATTTACTTTCTTGCGATTACAAGACAGATTTTATATTGTGCATACCCACGGGAAGTGGTTACAGATTTCCCTCATCAGTTATTACCAAAACAAACAAAAAAAGAAAAAACAAAAAACAAAACAAAATAAATAAAAACCCTAATACATATATCTTTGATTCTTTGTCCATAAATACACTTCAGCTGGATGGGCAAACATAGATGTTTAATGTGTAGTTTTCTCAAACTTTACTATTGAATAAGTTCCTCATACATTAGTTGTTGGAGTTTTTGAAACCTTATTATATTTTATTGGATTATGTGGATGCAAAACATTTGAAGTGGGACCTTATTACCCATTTCTTCTACTACAAAATCAAAGAGGAATCGATGAGTTATTGACAGTTTTCTATTTTTTTTAAACGTTATTCCGTGACTGTGAACCTATGAGGAAAATATTGGCCCCTCTTTTGGACCTATGTGGATTTTGCTCATGATAAATATAATATAATAAATATATAATATTACTAATAATTTAATTTTGTTTAAACTAAACAAAATATACATTTTAATATCATGGATCCTCTCTCACTTGACCGCCTAGATGTTTATGGTGCTCAGATGCTGAGGGTGAGGCTATAGGCGTCTTCTGCCCGGCCTTTGGACAGGGATGAATCCACAAAATCATTTGAGTGGAGATAAAATTTAAATGGCGACGTTAAAAATGTCAATGACAAAATATCAACTAACGTATTATAATAAGATTAAAAATACAAAATATATTATAAATTATAATATAATATTTTTGATAGATTACATGATAATTAGGGTCGAAGCCAAAAATATGAAACATAATCAATTAGATAAAATAATTTGAATAACACTATATTCATAAATACTTTTTAATTTTAATTTCTTTTACTTAGATCAACTTTAAGTTTTTCTAAATTAATTCGGATACAGTGAAATATAATATAAACTTGTATACTACATTAATTAAATGATTCATAAAAACTTAAAAAGTACGTCAATTAAATGACTCGTAAAAAGTAGACGAAAAAAATATTTAATTTATCTTGTGAATGAATGAAAGAGATAAAATAAGAAAAAATATTGCTAATGAGATTTGAACATATGGCATATACTTTTTAAATATTAAATTTGGAGTTCAACCAACTTAACTACTCAAACTATTATTAATTTAAGCATAGATATAGGTTTTTTATAATGCTATATATATATATATATATATATATATATATATATATATATATATATATATATATATATATATATATAAATGATTAAATATGTGTGGTGGGGAAAGAGGGGAGCTGCCCCTATATATATAGTGACTCCGTCCCTGCTTTGGGGTGTCTTGGATGCATGTACCAAAAGTATACATTTTAATATATTATCGGGACTAGTAGTCACATGTTTTAAATTCGAAAGGATTACAACTCACAATATTAGAAAAATAACTGTATTGGGGTAAGAAAAATAACTCTATGTATTATGTTTTCCTGACCTTAAACAATTTTTTTTTTTTTTTGATACTGATGAGGGGGTTACCCAAGGTGGCTAAAAAGCACCCTCGACTTAAACTCTAGCACCTGACTGACGTCTTCGATGCTTAAGCCCAATTTGATCCTGCATGATGATGTCGCGAACAGCTAGAGGTGATTGAGACAAAATGCGAGCCCCAATGGGATGAGAAAGGGCCCTTGTAGCCAAATCATCAGCCACTCTGTTCCGCTCCCTGTAAACGTGCTTGTAGATGATCTCATCTAGCGTCCTAGCTTCCAGAATGCACCCCCATAGAACGTTGTTATGGAGATCAAGATTACTCCGTAAACTCTGGACCGTGGTCAGCGAATCAGTCTCAATAACAAGCTTCTTAACACCATGCTCATGCGCCAGCCGAATGCCTTGCAACATCGCCCAGGCCTCCGCTTCTTCTACGCCACATCTCCCAATGCTGTGCGTGAAACCTCCTTTCCATATGCCTTGATCGTCCCTCAAGATTCCTCCGCATCCAGCTTTTCCACTCTGCTTATGACAGCCATCTACATTTATCTTCATCCATCCGGCATGTGGTTTTTCCCAAGCTACAAAGCTCTCAACTTCCGGCGTTTGGTCCATTCCAGAAGTCCTACATCTCGCAAAAGCACTTCGCACCTCCACTTCATACCTTTGCAACCAAGTCTTTCTTTGCGGTAGAGGGATAGAAACCTGGTTGAAAACTTCATCATTTCGCCATTTCCAAAGCCACCAGAGGCAGATGCCAAACTTCTGGGGCCAATCTTCATCGAAACCTCTCCGTCGATCTCCCCGAATATTTGCAGACAACCAATTTGTCCAGTCTAAGGCACCAAGGACCGCCAAGGTGCTGCTTGGAAGTAATGTCTCCAATATCTCTTTTGCCGCTACACATCGTTTGAAGAGGTGGTCAATTTCTTCGACTTGTCCTGCACAACGAAAACAAGTGTTATCAGCTGTTAGATGTCGTTTAACTCGTTCCTCGTTAGTGAGTATCCGCTCCTGTTTCACCAGCCAGAGAAAGAAACAAATCCTCCCCGGCAGCCGTAATTTCCAGATGAGCTTCCAATCTGTGTCCGGTTGCGAATTGACACCACCTTCTACTGTCTCATAAGCTAATTTCAGTGTAAATTTCCCATGCGCATCAGGGCCCCAGCCAATGCCATCCTCAGTATCCCCATCGTCTAGTATGATGCTCGCCAAGCGTTGCTGCGCGACAATTGGAAGTGCGTGGGCAATCTTCTCCCATCGCCACCCTCTGTGTTTGTCCCAGTACTCGTCCACCGTGGCATAAAGCTCGGGCAAGCTTAGCGGGGAGGTCATTTGGTTTCGAAGAGGTTCCGGCATTAACCAACTATCCATCCAAAAATTTGTGGATTTACCGTTTCGCACCACTCGAGTCAAGCTGTTATCCAAAAAAAACTTCTGCCGCCGTGATTCCCCGCCAAACGTTAGATACTTTCCGCTGGCTTTGTCCGATTCCTTGAGTAGACGATCTCCTGTTGTACTTGGTGAGTTACGTTCTTACCCACAGACTAGACTCCTCTGTCCTGAGTCGCCACCCTAACTTCATCATATAAGCAATGTTAAGTTCATGGAGCTTGCGCATACCAAGGCCGCCCAAGCTCTTTGCCGTAGTAACCGTTTGCCAGTTAACAAGACTCATCTTTTTTCCTCCAGCACTCGTTGTACCCCAAATAAATTTCCTGATTCTCTTCTCGACCTCCATGCATAAACTTTTTGGTAGTGATGTTGTCTGCATGGTGTAAACAGGTATGGCATTCAAAACAGCTTTGGCTAACACGACTCTTCCTGCTATAGAAAGCGTCTTTGTCTTCCATCCTTCCAGACGAGTCGAGATTCTATCAAGGATATCGGAAAAAGTGCTGCACGTGACTCGACCGTGTAAGGATGGCACGCCTAAATATCGTCCCAAATCCGTCGTTTGTGTGATGCCCAGCGTGTTGGCAATTGTCGTAGCTAGCTCCGGGGCTGTGTTGCGCGAGAAGTGA